GATCCTCACACAGCCTGATGGGCCCCAGCCCGGGACCGGCTCCCGCTCCGGGACACTCCTTCCCCCAGCAGACCCCCGTGGCATACAGCCAGGAGAGCCTGCACCCCATGCACAAGGTGGACATCAGCGGAGAAACACACAGCCAAAGACGGTGCAACCGCAGAGATAGAGGGTAACGTGTGTGTGTGTGTGTGTGTGTGTGTGTGTGTGTGTGTAGCCGGTGGAGGAGGTGCTCTCTGAGGACGCTCACTTCAGCCAAATGAAGGTGGTGCCCATGAGGGGGATGACCCGTCCTGGGAGCCCAATGGACCAGCACTCACAAGGTGCAGTACACACACACACACACACACCAGCACACAACAAGTGTTCAGATTAGCCCTGCACCACTAACATGACTGTGTGTGTGTGTGTGTGTTTGTGTGTGTGTGCATGTGTTTGTGTGTGTGTGTGTGTGTGTGTGTGTGTTTATGTGTGTGTGCTGCGCTGTCTCCTCCTGCAGGGTACCCGTCTCCACTTGGTGCATCTGAGCATGTGTCCAGCCCTGTGTCCACCAGCGGGCCTCCTTCAGGTCCACTTCTGTCCACCTCCGGCTCCAGCTCTGCATCTCTGGAAGGTTCAGATGGGCAGGCGCTGCCACTGACCCGCCCGGGGGCCCAAACTGTGGCTCCTGGCTCTGGCAGTGGCCCCCCAGGCTCCTCCAACACACCCACACCCTTCAACCAGAGCCAGCTGCACCAGCTGCGTGCCCAGATCATGGCCTACAAAATGCTGGCACGTGGGCAACCGCTGCCGGACCACCTGCAGATGGCAGTGCAGGGCAAGAGACCCATGCCAGGGATGCCACAGGGGCCGTCACTGCCCACACTGCCCCCTGCTGGAGGAGGAGGAGGAGCCGGCTTCAGCAGAGCACATGGTGAGCAGATCTGACACACACACACACTGACACACACACACATCTGATCAGGGTTGTTGTGGTCAGTCAGTGGTGGGGGATCCAGTTCTGCAGTGTAATGTTTTGTTGCTGTTTGGTGGTTAGCTGAAGGAGACGGTCCTGCTCATGTAATCAGTAAAGCTGTTCTGGGATCAGCAGTAAACCTCCAGCAAAAGCATCAGATGCAGCAGTGTTTACTACACAGAGCCGCCGTTCACTGACAAGCTGTGCAGTATTGCCTCAGTGATCACGCAGTGTTGAACTGGAAGATGAGCTTTCTGCGTGTCTGTGTGGGTCTCCGTGAGCTGCGGCTCCGATAAGGCAGTCAGATGTCGCCCTCTACTGGTGTAATAATGCTGTAAGACAGCAGTATATCCAGCTCACAGCAGTGCCGTGTCCGCTTGCGAGCGCAGCTCAGTGTCAGTCCGTGTGTTTCTCAGTTCTGTCCTGAATGTGGAACACTCCTCCGCGCTGCAGTCGTCTGTGGTGACTTTAGTAAAGGGTTAGTGTGTGCTGGTTGCTCTGCAGGAATGGTGGGACCCAACATGCCTCCGCCGGGGCCGTCTGGAGTCCAGGCTGGTGTTCAGGGCCAGAACCTCAACGGACCTCCCAAACCCTGGCCTGAAGGTGAGCGGGGGTTCCTGCAGATGTGTGTGTGTGTTCTGCCAGTGCTGATATGTGTGTGTTGTCAGCAGGTCCTCTGGTGAACGCAGCAACCCCGTCCAATGCCCCTCAGAAGCTGATGCCGCCACAGCCCACTGGACGCCCCTCACCTGCACCACCTGCTGTGCCACCCGCTGCCTCACCCGTCATGCCACCGCAAACTCAATCTCCAGGAAACCTCGCCCACCCGTCCCAGCCCACCACCATGGTGCCGCTGCATCAAAAGCAGAACCGCCTCACACCGGTGCAAAAGCCCTGCGGTCTGGATCCAGTGGAGATCCTGCAGGAGAGGGAGTACAGGTGAGCATAAGAACAGGGGAACCCAGCATTAGAACAGGGGAACCAGCAATAGAACAGGGGAACCAGCAATAGAACAGGGGAACCAGCAATAGAACAGGGGAACCCAGCATTAATACAGGGGAACCCAGCATTAGAACAGGGGAACCCAGCATTAGAACAGGGGAACCCAGCATTAGAACAGGGGAACCAGCAATAGAACAGGGGAACCAGCATTAGAACAGGGGAACCAGCAATAGAACAGGGGAACCAGCAATAGAACAGGGGAACCAGCATTAGAACAGGGGACCCAGCATTAGAACTGGGGAACCAGCAATAGAACAGGGGAACCAGCAATAGAACCAGGGAACCAGCAATAGAACAGGGGAACCAGCAATAGAACAGGGGAACCAGCATTAAGAACAGGGAACCAGCATTAGAACAGGGGAACCCAGCAATAGAACAGGGGAACCCAGCAATTGAACAGGGGAACCCAGCATTAGAACAGGGGAACCCAGCAATAGAACAGGGGAACCCAGCAATAGAACAGGGGAACCCAGCAATAGAACAGGGGAACCCAGCAATAGAACAGGGGAACCCAGCAATAGAACAGGGGAACCCAGCAATAGA